TTGGGGCCTTCAGGCCACCTCATGAAGTCTGTTTCTGATTTTTTGGTCAGGACATTCCCCACCAGTGGCCTGCTGGGTGGTCTTTTTTGTAGGGCTTGGCAGTGCCTTTTCCTTTTCCCTTTCCTTGCTCAAAAGGGGAGATACCGGTTCGGGGAAAAGGGGTTTAAGGACCTTTTTTTGGCCCTTTGCCCGGGCTCCCCTAGATTTAACTGTTTGGTCTCCTTGGTTTTGGTCCCTTTGCTCTTGGTTGTGATGGGGGGGGTCGAAAACAAACCTTTTTTAGCAATAACTTGTTTGTGGCCTTTTTTGGAGGATTTGGGGGACTGCCTGTGAAAAACTTTTTTAGGGCCCAAAGTTATCCCCTATGTTTATCTTTTAGTGACCGGGACCCTTTTAGTCAAATTACAGTTAATGATTTTGCTTCAACCTACATTTGAAGTTGATAATCTTTAGCCCCTCCCTTAAAGTATACTGGGTTTTAAACTTACCCCTGGCCCTTAAACCCTTACAAAATTCCTGGCTTTTGCAACTCTTCTATAGTGGGGAAAGTGTAAGAATTGTGTGGAAATTAAATAAAAATTTTGTTTTTTTTTGGTTTTTTCTTCTGTTCACCCCCCTTTGTTTTTTTTGTAAATTGAAAACAAAAAAAAAATTTAAAAAATATATATTTTTAAAAGCATTTTAAATTTACAAAATTTCCCAAAATCTGGAAAAAAATTGTGCAAAAATTATTTTAAAATTTTCCAGCAGCAAATGACAGCTTACTGTGGGAAAACCCAAATGTGTTTGGCCCAGGTGAAAGTTTTCCAATGGGGGGCACTTATTTCTAAAAAAAATTCAAAATTACATTTATGTATTTTTTAAAGGCCCTTTTCCAGTCAAAAGAAAATCTTTCCCCTTTAAAAAAAACCTTTTTTTTACTCTTTTTGCATTTTAAAACCATTTCTTGACCCCCCTTTATACCCAAAATTTAAAGGCTACATGTTTTGGCAAGTTCGGGGGGGGCGTTTTTTATGACACCCCTCCCAAAATCCCGCGCCCCCCAGGGGCGCACCTGGCGCTTTGGGGCCCAGTTATACATGTTTTGGGTTTAAAAGGGGCCCAAATCACAGAAAATTTTTTTCCAAAAAAACTTGTTTCCAGCTGTGTCCAATCACAGCTGATCATGGTGTATATACACTTGCGGTTATCGGCGAGTACTTTACTCAGGACTGGTCAGAAGTGTGAATAAAACAATGTCGATTACTTGCAAATGTGTAAGGTAGACATTCTACACTGAAAGCCAGGGACTGAGTAAGAGTATGCCCCAATTATCAGTGCCCAAGGCCTCCAAAATGTGCCTATGAAGTCTGTTACAGCTAGCCAGTGCCTGATTAGTCAGTGCCACCACGTCCGGTGCCTTTACGTTGCTGCATATTTAGTGCACATCATTGTGCACCTATCATAGCTACCATCGTGCTGCATATCAGTGCAGTCCTATCAGTGCCATCGCTCATCAATGCCACCAGTTGTATCTCTTCAGTGCAGCCTATTAGTGCCATATGTGCTGCCTACAAGTGCCGCCTCATTCTGTGCCAATCAATTGCTGCCTCATCAATGCTAATCCATTGTGACGAGAATGTGTAAAATTGGTCTGTTTTCTTTTATATACAGAACAAAGATAAACATTGTTTTTTTTCAAAAATGTTCACTCTTTTCATTTATAGTGGCAAAAAATAAAAAACCCCAGTGGTGATTATATACCACAAAAAGAAAAATTATAAAACATTGTCATGTGGTTTATAGTGTTGCTCAATGACCGTAGTCAATTGTCAATTCAATGTAAAGACTCAGCACTGATAGCTGAAAATTGGCCTGTGCAGGAAGGGCGGTAAAAAGTGCACGGTAAGCTAGCAAGTGGTTAAATGCAAACTTCTCGACTATGTGCCTCCATTCCTTTATTTTTAAAACTGACCCCAGGTGTGTTTTGTATAATCTGTGCTGTCAAATAGTTCTTCCCTATTGACAGATGATGTAGGTCTTCGTCAAATTTCTTAAAATGACTCAATGTGAACCGCCCTCAACAAGTCCCCACCCATCTCTTCATGTGGGAAATGGGTGAAAAGAAGCCTTTCAGTGTCTTATTTCCTTGATGTGAAAAATATTTGGGTCCGTTGCGCCAAAGTCATTAGCTAAGTGGTGGTTTATGTAAAGAAAACATAACGGTATTTAAGATTCTTATGATTTTGGTATAAAAACTCCTTGGTGCTTCACACTTATAATCTCCTAATGGGTGTATGCACTTTTGGCACATTATATCATATTATACTGGTAAATGTTCCGAATCTTATAAACTGGTTGGTAGAATGCACTTAAACATAATTGAGAAAAAGTTTTTTAGGAGTCTCCTTAACCTACAGACCCTATTTTACTGGTTCTCCTTGGGTTATCTTTTTTTCCTGATATCTCTAAACTCAGGGCAGGTTCCAAACTTTTTTCAAAGAGGGGCACAGATTGGATGAATTGAACAATGGTGGTGGGTATTTCCGTATTTTCCTTGAACATTTTGCAGAACATTCATTATTGAACCATTACAATTTAAATGCAAATAAATTATTTTATGCCAAGTTAATTGCAAACGAACATACTTTTTCCATTTCAGTAACATTAAGATCAACTGACAGAATGAGTTTTTCAACTATGTATTGAAAATAAATTAAATAAAAAACTAACCTGCACTAATGTTGAAGGGTGAAAAGGTAGCCTGGAAGCTGAAGTCTCTGCTCGGCACGCCGGGAGGGGAAGAGAAACACACTTCACGCTGGAAACGGCCCGGCCCCTGACGTCACACGCCCTCTGTTTTGCTCCCAAGCTGTCGGCGCAGTCACCGCTTTGGGATGCGCACTCTCTCAAGCAGAAGACTGTCCTGCCACTAACAGAAGGGAGGGGCCGTGCGGACAGCCCGCATTTACACAGACCAGGGAGAACGCGCCGCATGTCGAGGCCATATGCGCACTGCCCTCTAGCTCTCATGCAGAAGACTTGTCTGCCAATAGAAGGGAGGGCCGTGGGAGGGCCACATTACACAGAGCAGAGACGAGGGCATGTGGAGAGGGGGTGGCTCCGTATTTAAATCGACCCCCGGGCTGTAATTGGCCCGCGGGCACGGGACTTTGCGACATTTTGCCTGCTGCTAAACCACTACAAACCAAATTGACAAATTACATATTCTGGTGGCCTACATGACCTATTGTCATGAACTCTTTCCTTTTATCTGCTAGGGGAGATGAATATGATCCTATTTTTCTTTCACACTGTATTAACCTCGGGAGTGCGTGATTTTCGTGTTAATGACATCACAATGGCAATTTTGTTCTCTCTCAACTCTCAAAGCTTTGGGAATGATACCCAAACGTAACCCTTTTGTTCTTGGTTTATTTTCTAATACTTCGTCCTGCTTATTCCTTTTTGATGTTAAAGGTGGAACTCTGATTACAATAGGATTGCCTAATCTAGTTTGTTGGTATGCAGTCCTTTTTAGTATATACACGGATGGGTGTCTGTGAACGCTTACTGTTGATGTGCTGCCATAACCTCTCTGATTGACCTGTGTACTAACTGTTTACTGCATTTCTCTTTCTTGTTATACCCAGCTCATTAAGGTTCTACTGTGTTATTGTAGTCTATACCTATAGTATACTCAGACTTGCAATAGTAGATGCGGTATAATTTTCATTTTAATTTATGCTGATATGCAGATGTAATGTTGTATACCTGTGCATGGCTATATTTAGATATGTGACCCTCCTTCCAACTAGTTTTTAGTGACATACTATAGGTAATTTTGTTAATTCTATGGTTGTTTGTGTGGGTCTTAATCCTATCTAAGGTGTCTGTTTATGAAAGAGAGAAAAGCCTTTTATGAAGCAGTTCTCCGAACGAAGGGAGAACGGTCTACAAACGCTGGAGAACGGTCTACAAATGTTTGGGAAACGGCTTATTTTACTATAATCTCGTGAGATTACAGTAAAAGGTCAGTTTTTACTAAGCAGAGGTAAATTATCGCTGCTTAGGTTACGGTCTCTCCGATTCTCTAGCTCTGGGCTGGAGAATCTGGAGGGAGAACACAGATCTCCAGTGAAGGGCTGAACATGTTCTCCCGCTGATCTCCTGAATGTCAAACTGTGAATAACCAGAGAATAACTGCGATCCTCTGAATCGCAGCTATTCTCTGTGTCATAAACGGACACCTTAACCGTCCCAGATTCTCCAGCCCACCTGGAGAATCTTGGTGAGAAGCTGCTGTGAAGTGAGGAAGAAGGCTTCTATCTTCCTAATATCAGCACCAGTGGAGTTAAACATTGATATAAATTATAACTAGATATGTTTATGTATGTATATATGTATATTTGTGTTTTATATATATGTACTCTATATATATATATACCGTATTTTTCCGGCGTATAAGACGACTTTTCAACCCCTGAAATTCTTCTGAAAAAGTCGGGGGTCATCTTATACGCCGGTGCGAGCCGGTGTCAGGGCGGCACTTTTTCGAGGGGTGGCGCGGCGCCGCCCCCTCCTCCTCCAACGGACACTAAGTACAGGGGTGGGCAGAGGGGCTGCTGTACCTTACCTGGCTCCGGTCCCGTGACGATCCAGTCCAGGAAGCGCGTCTGCTCCTTCTTTCAGTTCGGCTGCTCGATGGTCACGTGGCCGCTCGGCTCCGCCTCCTCACCGGTGATTGGGCGCCAGCACTGGAAAGGCACACAGGCAACCAATCACCGGCGAAGAGGCGGAGCCGAATGCCCTGCGAAAATCAAGCAGCCGAACTTGAAGAAGGAGCAGCCGCTCCTCTCCCCCACTGACACTAACGATGGGGCACTATTCCTCCTCCACATTGACACCAACGATGAGGCACTGTTCTCCCCACTGATACCAATGATGGGGCACTATTCCTCCCACTGATACCAATGATGGGGCACTATTTCTCCTCCCCACTGACACCAACGATGGGGCACTATTCCTCCTCCCCACTGACACCAATGATGGGGCACTATTCTCCCCACTGACACCAATGATGGGGCACTATTCTCCCCACTGATACCAATGATGGGGCGCAATTCCTCCCACTGACACCAATGATGGGGCGCAATTCCTCCCACTGACACCAATGATGGGGCGCAATTCCTCCCACTGACACCAATGATGGGGCACAATTCCTGCCACTGACACCAATGATGGGCCACTATTCCTCCCACTGACACCAATGATGGGGCGCAATTCCTGCCACTGACACCAATGATGGGGCACTATTCCTCCCACTGACACCAATGATGGGGCGCTATTCCTCCCACTGACACCAGTGATGGGGCACTATTCCTCCCACTGACACCAATGATGGAGCACTATTCCTCCCACTGACACCAATGATGGGACACTATTCCTCCCACTGACACTAATGATGGGACACTATTACTCCCACTGACACCAATGATGGGGCACGATTCTTCCCACTGACACCAATGATGGGGCACTATTCCTCCCACTGACTAATGATGGGGCACTATTCCTCACACAATGACACTAATGATGGGGCACCATCATTGGTGTCAGTGGGAGGAATAGTGTCCCATCATTGGTATCAGTGGGAGGAATAGTGCCCCATCATTGGTGTCAGTGGATGAAATAGTGCCCCATCATTGGTGTCAGTGGGAGGAGTAGTGCCTCATCATTGGTGTCAGTGGGAGGAATAGCACCCCATCATTGGAATACCATACTGAAATAGCATACCATATTGAAATCAAATCTGATGTTTTTTCATTTTTATTTGGTGTGCGTTGGAAGAGGGGTAGTCTTATACGGCGAGTATAGCTCAAACCCTATATTTTAACAGCAAAAGTAGGTGGTCGTCTTATACGCCAAGTCGTCTTATACGCCGGAAAATACGGTATATATATATATATATATATATATATATATATATATATATATATATATACACACACACATACATACAATATAGTTATAGTGTGTTGTCGTTAAGAACACATTCATATCTGAGCAATGCAGAATTGTTGGCAGAATTGCACAATTCTTGCTGCAATTCCAAATTATGCTAAAATTGTGTTAAAATACGCAGTGCGCTATTTAGGTGCCATTCATTGTTAATGGCATCCCAAAAAGCTGTTAGCAGACATGAATTTAACCCACATTTTGTCCTTTGACAAATACAATATCAACGCACCAAGATGCGCATTGAAAAAACACACAGCACTCCATGCCCAAAAAAGGTTCAGTTATCCTTTTTTGGGCCTTTTTAATGCACATTTGGGTTTTTAACAAACATGTTGCTGCTTTTTTTCAACACACATTTTCAAAAAAATGTGAGTTTAAATTATTTATGTGCATTTTAGTACTTTTTAAAATGTATTTTGGCTCATTATTTACCTGCGTTTTTGTGTGTGTTCTGGAAACGCGTGAAAAAAAAATGCAGGTCATGTTTGTGGTGTCATTATTTGTTAACCACTTCCTGTCCGGACACTTTTACCCCCTTCCTGTCCAGGCCAATTTTCAGCTTTCGGCGCTCTCACATTGTGAATGACAATTACTCAGGCATACAACACTGTATCTAAATGAAATTATTATCATTTTTTTCAAACAAATAGAGCTTTAATTTGGTGGTATTTAATCATCACTGGGGTTTTTATTTTTTGCTAGAAAAATGAAAAAAGACTGAAAATTTTGAAAAAAAAAAACATGTTTTTCTTAGTATTTGATACTAAATTATGCAAATAAATATACTTTCTTCATAAATTTAGGCCAAAATCCATTGTGCTACATTTTGTTGGTAGACATAACCCAAATCAGTGTGTATTATTTAGTCTTTGTGAAAGTTATAGAGTCCACAGACCACGGTATATACAGTATATTTTATATATTTGAAAATGTATCAATCCTGATGCACGGACTACCTATATAATTTCTTGGGGCCCTAAAATGCCAGGACAGTACAAATACCCCCCAAATGACCCCTTTTTGGAAAGTAGACAGTCTGAGGTATTTAATGAGAGGCATGGGGAGTTTTTTGAAGTTGTAATTTTTTGCCAATTTTTTTAAGGAAATGATGAAAGTAAAAAAAATTCTTTTTTTTTTTTTTTCCCACAAAGTTGTCATTTAACAAGTTCTTTCTCTCACACGGCATAGGCATACTTGCAATTACACCCCAAAACACATTCTGCTACTCATCCTGAGTATGGCAATACCGCATGTGTAAAACTTTTTCACAGCCTAACCACATAGAAGGGCCCCACATCCAATAAGCACCCTTAGGCGTTCTAGGGGCAAAAATTACATCTAATTTCTTGACTGTCTATCACAGTTTTGGAGGTCCTGGAGCACCAGGACAATTGAATTACCCACAAAATGACCCCATTTTCGAAAGAAAACACCTCAAGGTATGTTTTAAGAGGCATGGGGAGTCCTCTGAAGACTTCATTTTTTGCCACATGTTTTTGGAAAATGTGAAAAGAAAATGAAAATGTATTTTTTTTTACGCAAAGTTGTCAATCTATGAGATATTTCTATTACACAGCATAGGCATACTTAAAATGATACCTCAAAACGCATTCTTTAACTCCTGCTGAATATGGCGATACCAAATGTGTGAGACTTTTTCACAATCTGGCCACATAGAGGGGTTCCACATCTAATAAGCACCTGTTAGCGTTCTAAGGGCAAAAATTACACATCTAATTTCTTGACTACCTATTGCCGTTTTGGAGGTCCTGGAGCATCAGGGCAATGGAATTATCCACAAAATGACCCCATTTTGGAAAGAAAACACCCCAAGGTATGTTTTAAGAGGCATGCAGAGTCTTCTGAAGACTTCATTTTTTGCCACAAGTTTTTGGAAAATGCGAAAAGAAAATGAAAATGTATTTTTTTTTCTACACAAAGTTGTCAATCTATGAGATATTTCTAATACACTGCATAGGCATACTTAAAATTACACCCCAAAACACATTCTCTAACTCTTCCTGAATATGGTGATACCAAATGTGTGAGACTTTTTTACAGTCTGGCCACATAGAGGGGTTCCACATCCAATAAGCACCTGTTAGCGTTCTAAGGGCAAAATCGCACATCTAATTTCTTAAACTACCTATTGCTGTTTTGGAGGTCCTGGAGCATCAGGACAATGGAATTATCCATAAAAAGACCCCATTTTGGAAAGCAAACACCCCCCAAGGTATGTTTTAAGTTCTCCGTCACTCTCATCTGTCATACTCAGAATTTGAAATGCCTCCTCGCTTGTATATGATCTTTTGGCCATATTTTTGACACTGATCAGGACCCACTGGTATGGCAGTGATCAGGATGGTGTTGCAGTGAGGGACAGATATCTGGCTGCAGTTGGTTCACACTAGTCACTGTTGGGCAAAAATCAGAGATACAGTGAGGTGGCTGGCAATGTTTTGTGAGTGTGTGTAAACTCTGTGCAAAGGCTGAAAATTACTCACAGTTAGCTGTACTGGATCTCTCTCCTCACAGACGATGGCAGTGAACAGGATCCACTGGTGTGGCAGAGATCAGGGACACTTTATGAACAGGCACACTGTAAGGTGATCAGGGACACTGATTGGGCCACTGTATGGTGATCAGGGACACTGCTGGGCCACTGCGGTGATCAGGGACACTGCTGGGCCACTTGTGTGGCGATCAGGGACACTGTGGCAATCAGGGACACTGTGGCGATCAGGGACACTGCTGGACCACTTGTGCGGCGACCATGGACACTGCTGGGCCACTGCGATGATCAGGACACTGCTAAGCCACTTGTGTGGCGATCAGAAACACTGCTGGGCAACTGCGGTGATCAGGGACACTGCGGTGATCAGGGGCACTGCTGGACCACTTGTCCGGCAATCAGGGACACTGCTGGCCACTTGTGTGGTGATCAGGGACACTGCTGGGTCACTTGTGTGGTGATCTGGGCCACTGCGGCAATCAGGGACACTGCGGTGATCAGGGACACTGCTGGACCACTTGTGCAGCAATCGGGGACACTGCGGTGATCAGGGACACTGCTGGGACACTGCGGCGATCAGGGACACTGCTGGACCACTTCTGCGGCGATCAGGGACACTGCTGGGCCACTGCAATGATCAGGACACTGCTGGGCCACTTGTGTGGCAATCAGAAACACTGCTGGACTACTGCGGTGATCAGGGACACTGCGGTGATCAGGGGCACTGCTGGACCACTTGTCTGGCGATCAGGGACACTGCTGGCCACTTGTGTGGTGATCAGGGACACTGCTGGGCCACTTGTGTGGTGATCTGGGCCACTGCGGCAATCAGGGACACTGCGGTGATCAGAGACACTGCTGGACCACTTGTGCAGCAATCGGGGACACTGCGGTGATCAGGGACACTGCTGGGACACTGCGGCGATCAGGGACACTGCTGGACCACTTCTGCGGCGATCAGGGACACTGCTGGGCCACTGCGATGATCAGGACACTGCTGGGCCACTTGTGTGGCAATCAGAAACACTGCTGGACTACTGCGGTGATCAGGGACACTTCGGTGATCAGGGGCACTGCTGGACCACTTATCCGGCGATCAGGGACACTGCTGGGCCACTTGTGTGGTGATCAGGGACACTGTGGCGATCAGGAACACTGCTGGACCACTTGTGCGGCAATCAGGGACACTGCGGTGATCAGGGACACTGCTGGGCCACTGCGGCGATCAGGGACACTGCTGGACCACTTGTGCGGCAATCAGGGACACTGCGGTGATCAGGGACACTGCTGGGCCACTGCGGCAATCAGGGACACTTCTGGGCCACTTGTGTGGCAATCAGGGACACTGCTTGGCCATTGCGGCGATACTGCTGGGCCACTTGTGTGACGATCAGGGACACTGCTTGGCCACTGCGGCGATCAGGGATACTGTGACGATCAGGAACACTGCTGGGCCACTATGTGGTGGTCAGGGACACTGACAATCAGGGACACTGCTGGGCCACTTGTTGGGCGATCAGGGCCACTTGTGGGCAATCAGGGCCACTTGTGGGTGATCAGGGCCACTTGGGCAATCAGGGCCACTTGGGGCAATCAGGGCCACTTGGGGCAATCAGGGACACTTGTGGGGGCAATCAGGGACACTACGTGGGGGCGATCAGGGCCACTTGTTGGCGATCAGGACCACTTGTGGGCGATCAGGGCCACTTGGGGCAATCAGGGCCACTTGGGGCAATCAGGGCCACTTGGGGCAATCAGGGACACTTGTGGGGGCAATCAGGG